CTCAACCAAATGTTATGAGACTTACACACAATGCTTATTACCACAAAACTCAGATCAAGTTCAAATTTGGGTAGCATCACTTTTACTGTTCTTCAGTTATGTCCCTTTATAACTATATGATATGCATCATCATCACATGTGGACACTATTCACATTTATTTTAAGAAAGCAAATGTACATTAACCCCTTTAAAAACTTAGATAATATTGTCCATTAATGATTAAAAATAAATTAAGTTCTTGGTGTACTTGGATATTATGGTCCATTCATAAATAAATTAAATTAAATTCTTGGTGTACTTGGATATTATGCATATGGTCCATTAATAAATAAAGAAATTAAATTCATGGTGTACTTCTACGGTTATGCTGAATCTAACTGTGTATTTAGATTTTGGATATTGGACCATAAGGGGTAAAATCTAATTTCAAATTTTTCAGTTCTTTGACTACAATCATTTTGTGACAGAAACCTATATTGGGTCAAATATTTAATCACAACCAAATTTAGAGCTGTATCAAGCTTGAAGGTTGTGTCCATATTTTCCCCAACTGTTCAGGGTTCGACCTCTGCGGTTGTATCTAGCTGTGCCCCATGGAGCACTTTATTTTTTAATGTTACCAAGATTTATAAATGCTGATTCAGATATATCATTAATTAAGGGCTTTCCACTCCGTTAGGAAAGACCTTATTGTTTTTCTAATGTTTTTTTTTTTTTTTTTTCTTCCAGCATTTTTTTGACATGGCCTCCCCTCATTTCTATTAAAGTTATCAAGACCAAATATGGACCATCGATAGACCTCATCATGAAGTATTACCAGATGAGGGCACGTAGGATTTCATCATCCCCTGTAGAAGTTATCTCCCTTTTATTGGTTTTTTTCAACATGGCCCCCCCCTCGTTGTTTTTAAAGATATCATGACTTTATGTGGACAATAGGTAGATCTCATCATGATGTATTACCATATGAGGGCACGTAGGATTTCATTATCCCCTTTGAGAGTTGCATCCCCTCGAAGCAATTTCTTTTACTTGCATTTTTCTTAAAAAGTATAAGAGATAGAATCGAATTCAGGGTTCGACATTAACTTTTATACCAACTTGTCCAGTTGGGCAAGTGCCCTATTACTTTTACTTGTCCGAAAGTGAAATCTACATGCCCAAACTTTTACATGCTATTTTTGTGGTTGTAATGTAGTACATGCAGATAAAATATAGTTATCATGTATATGGGGTGTAAATTGATTATGGAGTATGAAAATATACTATGAGGCATATATGAGCCGAGGAGGGAGGGAAAAGATCGATGAATATACGGAAATTGGATCATTTACATAGAGATACTTATTTCATAATAATTTATCTAAGAAATGCCATTTCAAAAAACCCTTCTTGATAAACTGACAACAACTGACAAATTTGTTAAAGTTTAATTTCATTTTCTCTTTCAAGCTTTTACGTTTTTCCATCTTAGGGAAATACACATCCGATGTCAAATTATAAAGTTAGAACAACGAAAATAGACCTCCGCTTTCCATTGGTCGGTGGGAATAACACGTGCGTCGGAAACGCCCGAGTGGTGTCCCGAAGGATAACGATAATGACGAAGCAACGTCGCGGCCGCCTGATTGGCCAATATTTTTAAACGTGATCTATTTTTGGTAAAATGGGGAATTCAGTGCGAACAATTGACGAAATATACGCATTGAAGGGGGGTTAAGACCACTTTACTCGACCGTGCTGTGTTATCACTGAGTAATCTATGGACAAAACAACAGACACTATTGATTTTGTGAAATTTTAATCATATAACACTTTTTTTTTCACTTGCCCGATCGGACAACCAAGATGATGTTTTTACTTGTCCGAATACGGCATTAGCTTGCCCCGGGCAATCGGACAACCGTAAGTGTCGGACCCTGGAATTGAAAATGGCAGCATCTACAGTAACAAATGGCAATGTTAATAAACATAAACAATTAGTATGTTATCAATCCTTATAAGGAGTTATTTCCCTTGAAAAATTTTACACAATTTTTTAAAAATTGTATTTTGAGAACTGGAAGTCATAGAGACTTGGGACCTTCACCAATAATCTTTAATTCATTTGACCTTTAATTTGCACCCAAGGTCAAAGGTCACTGAGTGCAAAAACAATTTACGGTGCAATTTCAAGCTTACATATTAAGAAAACGATAAGAGTTTGCTGCGTACATACTGTGTATAAAATGTTCCTCTCGACGAGCTCTATATTTTATACATTAAGCTCAAAAATGTCCGACCGTCTGTTCAAAAGGTACAACGAGATAATTCTTTAAAGTATAGTTTTGTGTGCATATCTTTTAAAAGGTAACAGATATCAACCTACTATAAACTGCAAAAATTTTAAGACCTTCTGTTTGAGGTCAATGTCAGGTCATAATGAAATTTTACCTTGACCTTCTAAGTGTACTATGACCTTGACCTTGTGACATTTTTTTAGTGATTATTGTTCATGCATTGTTCTATTTTGTTGACATAATAGTTAAAGTCTAATTTCAAATTTTTCAGTTCTTTGACTGCATTCATTCTGTGTCAGAAACCTATACTGTGTCAAATATTTTATCACAATCCAAATTCAGAGCTGTATCAGGCTTGAATGTAGTGTTTGATGTTATCTACCCATGCCTTGTTGGGTAGGAAGGTAGTTTTTTTTTATTGTAGGCCAAAACCATAAATTACATGTTTTAGATAAGAAAACAACGTAACAGCATGAAAAAAACCATTTGAAACGATTTGTGTCATAAAATTTATCAGGTAGGCTGCTTTTTAAATGGCTAGGTAGGCAACATCAAACAATTTCAACATGTTCAATTTCATTTTTGGCCTTATTTAATTTTGCAGATGTAAGTAATACATGTACCTGAATACCACAGGCACTAGTGACTAGATTTTCTATCAATATTAATAAAATAGGAGCAATGGGAAGAAAATAATTACTATGTATATAAAAATAAGGAGATGTGGTACAGTGCTCCAGCTAGAAATCAAAAGGGGCAGGGTGCCAGAGGAGGGCAGGGCACTTTTTTATGAAAGGAAAAGGCACTGCTCATTTCTTTTGTCTACGTTTCTGTGTGTATCACGAGTTCACATTCTTTTTTTTACTGTAGATGTTGTTAATAAAGATGCATAAGATGTTGTTTTGATTATTTATTCTGTAAAATTTGCATTAGAAAATGTAATTCATACGACATGTTCATAAAACATGTCAATACACATTCATACATCACATCACTCTAAACCAATAGAGGCAAATTAACCTACTATTCTCCCCCCCCTCCCTTTTCCAAAAAAAAACAATATAAACTAAACATCTCATAGTTTAGCATTCATGTGACAGAGTTGTCTTATTTCAAAATTTACAGCTAGAGTTTGGCCCTCAAAACTTTTTTTCATTGTTTGTGTTAAGGAATTATTTAGTAAAGCTTCATCAAGTTGATGTCATGATAGTTTAACTTCACACTACCCATTTTTGTAGGATTGCAGCATATCATCATTATAAAAATTGAACTGATAAATTTCTTACTTGACAATGTATAGAACATGGATTGCTAAAAGTATGATTATCAAAAATAAATTGCAACATATTTTTTTTGGTATGTTCAAAGACAGTTAATATCCTTAAGGTAACATTCTTATATAATTTTGTATTCAATTGGTAATTTATTCCTATTTTTAATACTAGATAATATTTTAAGAGCACAAATTTGTAATAAGCTAAAACAGGGGAAGTAACTCCAAAATTAATTTCTAATACGTTAACTGTTTGCTTGTCGATCACAAGTTGAGATGGACGGCGTTTCTGTGAAGGCATAGTTGTATTTTGATGACTTAAATTCTATTCTAAAGTCATGAAAGTCTTCATTTATACACTCTTCTTGGAGATCGAAAATGCCGACCCAAGCTAAAAACACTCGCTGACACATTCATCAAATTTATGACAAAAAGGTACATTGTCTTAATTAAATTACCTAGTTATTAACACCTTTGAAGTCTTATCCACTGTAATTGATTGTAATGACATGATTAATCTGGGGGCAATCACCTTGTGTCATATATGTAATTTAACTTTGTGATAAGAAATCGATGAAACAAAAGGCAATTTTACCAAAACGGCATAAGGGTTTTTGGGGAAAAGGCGTCAGGGCAGAAGGGCATGGATGAAGGCAGCCAGGGCGCGACTGAGGGCACCCAGGGCGCGGCGCCCTTCTATTTTGGGCTAACGAGACCACTGTGGTATGATTGCCAATGAGACATCTATCTACCAAAGTTCAAATGAAGTGCCAGGATGTAAGCAATTGTAGGCACGTTATGGCCTTCAACAATGAGAAAAACACATACAGTATAGTCGGCTATTAAAGGCCCTAACAAGAAAAATGTGAAACAATTCAATTGAGAAAACTAATGGCCAAATTTATAACAAAACAATTCAGGAAGAACAAATATGACAGACATGAACAAAAGACAACCATTGAACTACAGGCTCCTGAATTGGGACAGGCTCATAAAGAATGTGGTGTGGTTAAACATGTTTGAAAGCACCAACCCTCTCCTAAACTGGGACAGTGGTGTAGTAACGGCACTCGTAACCCAAGAATACCTTTTTTTCCTGGGAATCTTTTCATTTACCCTTGTGCAACAGTTTCTTAACATCTGTATGTAGTATACGTACATACAGTTGATTTCTATGTTTAGTTCATGAGCATGATGAGATAAAAGGTTGAAGTCTATTAAAAAAGTATTAGCAAATAGAAAACAAATTGGATGGGTATGTTTTGACCAACCAAAAGATGAGAATTTAAACATTTTTAGAGTGAACATTGTAAAAAAAAATAGTTGTAGAAGTAAATTTTTGGAGATTTTGAAATCTTGAATTGAAAACTAAAATCTTGCAGTTTCTTTTACAGATAAATATTACTTACATCTTCAAGTATTACCACTGACTTTTGGTCTTTTTCAGATATGATGGTGCAGTAGTTTGTTCCAAGATTACTGCAAATTGAATCCTTTTACAACAGAAAGTTTAAGCGGCCTACAATGTCTAACTCCAGAATACCAAAGCATCAATCAAATCAGTTTGACAAGAAAGTGATCTTGACAAATGGATATTTATTTGATAAAGAGGCTGATACTGTGAAATTAGAACCTTTATCACCTATGTTGGATGAAAACTTTACTCATTATATTAAACATGAACCTCTATGTCCTAATAATGATCAGAATTCCTGTAAAGTAAATTTGGCTGTTAATGTTGAACCTCAGTCTTCTGAACTTAAAGGAAATTTGACAGTTAAAATTGAACCTCTGTCCTTTGAGTGTGGTCAAAATATGACAGTTGAAACGGAACTTCAATCATCAAAAGATTTTGAAAATATGACCATTAGGACACAGCATTCGTCTTCAGATATTGACAAGAAAGTTACAGTAAAAGTAGAACCGCATTCGCCTGATATAGATGATGCAGCAGAAACTGATGTTGTAGAGGATGTGAAGCTGAAAACAGATGAGAATTCCACTGAATATAACAGTGACAATACAATCAAAATTGAACAGTTGTTCAAAGACAAAGTTTGGAGTTCTGAAAGGCTATCTACAGAAGAGAAACTGGCAACAGGTAAAAGTATGAATAAGGATACCTAATGAGATATTTAAGGATGTTCGCTACTCTGTTTCAAAATAACAAGCCTTTTAAAAGAATGTTATAAATTGATAGTATATAAATAAAGGAAGTAAAAAAGCAGAAAAAAATTAAGGGTCTGTGACATTGTTTTCGAGATATAAGCCATTGAAAATTTGGCGGGAAATGATTTTCTCTAGATTTTTTATACATTTAACATTGGCACCTTTTTTTCTTTCAAAAACTATGAAAAAATAACAAAAATTTAATAAGATTTCCAAATATTGCTTTTTAAACTCAATGTAATAAAAGTAATGAAAAGAAAAATAGGGGTTAGTGGGCAAATTTTTTAATGGCACTACATGGATAAAACTACATTTGAACTAGAGGATTCTGAATATCTGACAAAAATAAAAAAAAAAGAGTAGCAAACATCCTTAAAAATGACAGCTGAGTTATGCAATTTTTACCCACAAAATCAATAAAAATAGCAGCTCTTTGAGCATGTTCATGATGTTGAGCAGTAAGACCACCTGCACGACCAGTCAAAGCAGCAATAATAAATATAACTCTATAGCACGGTGTAGAATGGTAACGGACTTATCGGGTTTTTTTTCGGCGTTTCAGCACTAATCGGGTTCGGCAACAGACTTATCGCGTTTTCAGATGACAACATTTGGCGTAAGTGGTTATTTCTTTCAACTTGTATTAAAGCAGAATTGATATTTCCAAATAAGCTTGATGTCACGGAATGGGGAAATTATTTATTTTGCTGTCTAGCTAATCATATATTCATGGGAAGCTACGATTTATTTCAAATTGTTTCCACCAAAGTGGTACCCGAACTTGAAAACAAACATTTTTCATGGAAAGATGTCTAATTGAAGCGTGTTTTAAGCATGCTGTTTTCTTTTCCAAGTAAATTTTTGGTTATTATTCATTAAATGTAGACATTTTCCCTTTCGGAACTGTTTCATGCACTATTAAGGTCTTAAATGATGGTTAATTTGAAAAATTAGTGGCACCGGACTTTTTGTGTTATTAGCACCGGACTTTTTGTGTGCAATTGAATATGGAGACTCCTATCTTCTCAGTCAGTCTGTGTGTTTACTCCGCCTGGGTTAATCACCTCTTACTTTATAATTAATCACACATCACGCAATGATATATTTTATTAATCCACAAACAAATGTGTGGGATTCTATCAGTATCTCGTCCTCATAGCAGGAATTTAAGGTTTCTAGTCCATATAATTATGACGTCTGGGAAGGCAATTCTAAATTTTTGCCTTGACGCCCTTCTGCGACGATGTAAGCGTCAAAGAAAGAAAAAAATATAATAAATAGCCTTTCAAGACGTCATAATTATGGTACGGCCTTCAACAATGAGCACTGTCAGCTATAAAAGGCCCTGAAATGACAATGTAAAACAATTCAAACGAGAACTTTTTAACGGCCATATTTATATAAAAAAATGAACGAAAATCAAATGTGTAACACATAAACAAACGACAACCACTGAATTACAGGCTCCTGACTTGGGGCAGGCACATACATACATAATGTAGCAGGGTTAAACATCACGGTTAGCGGGATCCCAACCCTCCCCCTAACCTGGGACAGTGGTAGAACAGTCCAACATAAGAATGAACTATAAAAATCAGTTGAAAAGGCTTAACTCATCAGATGGACAAAAATACAAGTGGACGTGGCCGGGTACTTGTACATCCCAACAACAAAAATACACTAGGAACAGATCTGCGAGTACTCGCAGTTAACTGACAATTAGTTCAAAGCCACTAACAACTAATAAAACAATCATGCATCTAAGACTAAATGGGTTAATAATTTAGGTTGTCACACTTATTCACCGGCTCCATCAACAATTGTTTTTCATGACTGAAACATAAAGCTTCACTCATACATGCATCATTATGAATACGTCGAAAGAAGACTTGGTATGAATATATATATTTAGATATATAAATCATGTAACGTAAAATAGGCTAAAATTGAATTGAATGTTGCTGATTGTTTTTTAACATCCTTGCCCTTGGCCTTGCATTTAAACGAGAGACATTCATATTAACCTGTTTTTTCTATTATGCCGGAATGAATGTGTCTTTTCGAAACATCCATCAATAGACCTGCACATGTTAACCTGGGAAAGAGCAGAAATAAAAGCCTTATTCCTTGACCATTTGTGTTTTGTTTGGCATTGCATATGATATTACCCCATACCGGTGTACTTTTACTCAATGTCCCTTTATTTTCTATCATAATGTAAAAATTAAGATTGAAAAAAACACTTGTTGGTGATAAGTTCCAGACTTCCATATTCTAGCACACGATGTCAAATGGGGTTTTTAAAATCTTTTATTTTTCATTTCCCAAACGAACAAAAAATACGAAAACATCATTTTTTACCCTGTTAAAAAGTCCTTTGCTCAATAAACCCCAACAGTTCCTTGCCCAAAAACACGTCATTTTAGGGAAACCCGATTAGTCCGCTGCCAAGCAATTTTGAAAAAGCTTTAATATATGATATTTTTTGTTTTTGAATGCACACAAGTGGTTCTAATATGTATTTTGCATGAAATAAAGAAGCACAAAAAGTCCCCATTCTAATATACTGTGTATTTGAATGGAAACCACACAACTATTAGCTGTGTTCGGCCGGTTGTCCTGTTTAGTGTGGAGCTCTTTGAAAAAGCCAAGAGTGGTACCGAAGCAAAATGAAAATATTGCAAACTTAGATCATCGGTGCCTTCCGTGATCATATAAACATAAACACTAACGACTTCTTTTCGTCTATTTGGCTCATTTTGTGTCACACTGTCTGGAAACAAAACGCGATAAGTCCGTTGCCGAACCCTATTAGTGCGGAAACGCCGACAAAAACCCGATTAGTCCGTTACCATTCTACACCGTGTATAGGGTTATTAGACAAAAATAACATACATTTGTTATTGTGGACTGAAAATTGAAAAAACTTTAATAAAATATGTATGTTACATGTTTCAAAAGGCAAATATGCATCATTCGTTTTGTTAAAATGTATACAAGTTCTATCAATATTATTAGTGTCTTTATGTATACTATATATATATATATATATATATATATATATATATATATATATACTGTTATATCCTATAGAGAGATGTAACAGTTCATAGTTTGCCAATCATGCATATTACATGTAATTACAGAAAAAATATGCCTGTAATAACTAACATGACTAAAGGGTGTTATTACAGCTTCTCTACAATGTACATCACTTCAAAGCCTTTGCTCAGACATAAATCATGCTTAATCACAATGTATTTTAATTTATTGTAAGAAATAATGATCTGAGCATGTAATGAGGTTCTGTGCAAGCTTCCCAGTAATTCCCAAGTGTCTCATATAATAAGCATGATAAGTTACATGCCTTTAATAACTAAGCCTTGTTTTTACAGCTAAGTTCATCCCTTAAAAGCCTTGTATCATTGATTTACCTTGGTTGATGAAAACTGTATTAATGTAATTAGAAATAAGTAATCAAGGCTATGTATTTAGTTTCTGCGCAAAGTTTAAAGAATTCCCAAGTGCCCACTAAAAATTAAAATATTGATGATTTATTTAACAAATAACAAACATATGTTACTACAGATTTAGAAAATTTAAGGAATAAAGAGTAGACAACTCATGAAAGTATCTGTAATAACACATGTATGATATTTTCTCTGATAATCCTATAGAGTTATATCCCTGACTGATAACAGTCAAATGTTTTTATTTATTGCAAATTAATACAATGTTTTGTGGAATAGTATCATTTCTACAATGTTTTGTGGAATAGTATTATTTCTACAATGTTTTGTGGAATAGTATCATTTCTACAATGTTTTGTGGAATAGTATTATTTCAATACAATGTTTTGTGGAATAGTATCATTTCTACAATGTTTTGTGGAATAGTACCATTTCTACAATGTTTTGTGGAATAGTATCATTTCTACAATGTTTTGTGGAATAGTACCATTTCTACAATGTTTTGTGGAATAGTACCATTTCTACAATGTTTTGTGGAATAGTATCATTTCTACAATGTTTTGTGGAATAGTATCATTTCTACAATGTTTTGTGGAATAGTATCATTTCTACAATGTTTTGTGGAATAGTACCATTTCTACAATGTTTTGTGGAATAGTACCATTTCTACAATGTTTTGTGGAATAGTATCATTTCTACAATGTTTTGTGGAATAGTATCATTTCTACAATGTTTTGTGGAATAGTATCATTTCTACAATGTTTTGTGGAATAGTATTATTTCAATACAATGTTTTATGGAATAGTATTATTTCAATACAATGTATTGTGGAATAGTATCATTTCTACAATGTTTTGTGGAATAGTATCATTTCAATACAATGTTTTGTGGAATAGTATTATTTCTACAATGTTTTGTGGAATAGTACCATTTCTACAATGTTTTGTGGAATAGTATCATTTCTACAATGTTTTGTGGAATAGTATCATTTCTACAATGTTTTGTGGAATAGTATTATTTCAATACAATGTTTTATGGAATAGTATTATTTCAATACAATGTTTTGTGGAATAGTATCATTTCTACAATGTTTTGTGGAATAGTATCATTTCAATACAATGTTTTGTGGAATAGTATTATTTCTACAATGTTTTGTGGAATAGTACCATTTCTACAATGTTTTGTGGAATAGTACCATTTCTACAATGTTTTGTGGAATAGTTTCATTTCTACAATGTTTTGTGGAATAGTAGCATTTCTACAATGTTTTGTGGAATAGTACCATTTCTACAATGTTTTGTGGAATAGTACCATTTCTACAATGTTTTGTGGAATAGTACCATTTCTACAATGTTTTGTGGAATAGTATCATTTCTACAATGTTTTGTGGAATAGTACCATTTCTACAATGTTTTGTGGAATAGTATCATTTCTACAATGTTTTGTGGAATAGTATCATTTC